AGCCATTTCCTTACCTTTCAGACAATTTGGGTGTCAGCTTATTAAAAGGTTTTTGTTAACACCCTGTAATCAGTTGGCTGCTTGTTAACTCAAGGCAGGAGATAGAATGTAAGCAGAAAAAATAAAATAAGACTCAGTAGGTGTTACAAGCCTGATCCCTAAGACAAGGAATTACAAAGAGGCAGTGACCTATGTTACATTTCTATTTTTGAACCATATTGGCATTCCTCCTATATGCTATATAGGAATATCCTTCGATAAGAAAACTAGTTTAAGCAAGTTTTCTTTTGAGATTATATTTTTGCCTTGCAGCTTTTATGTCTGGTACAGTGAAGTGTTTCTCACCACTTCACAAGTGTCTGATCCACCAACCGAATTTATTCTAATGCATAGGAGTGCATTCTTTGGAGTACCAAATTTGTATTCTCAGTTTGAGGACCACATATATAGCCCTTCCTCTGGCTGTTTGCCATTGAGTCAACATTTTTCATGGGTTGTAAGTGATGGGTATTTGAAAAGACTAGCCTTCTTTTTCTTTGGGTACTAGGCATAGGTTAAGCCTATTTAAGCATTGAGATAAATACTAAATGTAGGCAAGATATTATGTATGTCAATAAATAATACTCTGTTCTAAAGAAACTGTTTGATGTAACTCCATTTACCTACTTCTCACAACTCCTGAAGAGAAGTATTTAGGAGGGCTTAACCCAGGTGGACTTGCTAAGAAAACATGAACAACAGAGATTGATGATGGAACCTGGGGACCCAGTCTAAAAGTGAAATGAATTACATTATTGCACTTTGAGGCTATGGACAGACGTTACACATAAACGAGCTTAAATGATCAGAAACTGGTTTAAACCTGTAACAGAGCAGATGTTCAGTGCACATAAACCAGTTTGAAAATGCCTGAAACCAGTCTGAGATAAACCTGGTTGAATGCCGTATCAGACTTAACTGATTGGGGCCATACCAGTCTCTGCAATGTCTGTCCCAGAGTCCTTCCTGGTTTAACTTAAACCAGAGTGCCCCAGCATCCCAGGTGCTTTGCAGCCCTGGGTAGGGCTGTCTGCTTCACAGCAGGGCTGTCCCCACCCATCTTCTTCCTGGCTGGAGAGATTGCAGGCACAGCAGCATCTGCCTGGCTTCCTCCTGCCCCCCTTCCCATCCTCACTCAAGTAGGGATTCCCCCCTCCCCTCTCCCACAGCACAGACAGTAGCAGCATGTGGTATGCTGGCTAATGCTGGGAGGTGTCTAAGGCAGACAGGACAGTGTCCGCTTAGGGCTTTTTGGAGCTAATCAACAGGTAGCTGGTAATATCCCACCATTCTTTCCTTGGAAAAAGCTGTTTAAGAAGAGCTTAACTAACAAAAGAGACTTTTGTTGTTTTGATGGGGTGCTAAATGCTATCAACTCCCTGTGTAACAGCTCCCTACTGGGGAAGGGAAGGGAGGGCTGCTCTAGCCTCCCAGCTTCTAGCCTGAGCCACTGCAGGCATGTGCCTGCATTTCTTCAGTCCAGAAGGGATGTCTGTATGGTTACAAACCGGTTCAGCTTAGCCAGGTTAGACAAACCTGCAAAGATTAAATCAGTTCAGGCTCAGGCTTTTTGAATGTCTGTCCCTATCCTAAAAGAAGCACAGACCTATAAGTTGAAAGAGGAGAGACTGAAGAATAGTTAAAGATACAGCTTATGCTGAAACAGTGACAACAGCTTTTCACAATGTTGACCAGATGGAATGTGGTTTATGACTGAAGCATCTGCAGGGTCACACCGGAGGTATACACTGACTTGGATATTTTATTTATATAGTGTAAAGGTATGAAGGAGACATTTAAGTAGAAATTTCTTGTACACTGTTCAGGAAGAAGATACTAGTTATGAAACTGAGATTGCTTCCTTTGGATAAAATTGTTAATATTTGGTATTTGCTCTTGTTGCAAGCCCATCTGCCTAAGGTAGATCCCCAGATGGAGAAAAAGAGTTAAACCATTTGTACTGTGTGGTGGACATTGTGCTTATGATTGGTAGATATCTGCCCCAAAGTTGAGCAGCTGCACTTTTGTTTTATGAATGCATTTGTTCCATTTTCTGACCATCTTTTGGCTAAAAGGACTGTTGATTTAGTATACGGGGCTGACATTTCTGTAAACACCTATGTAGTCATTCTTTTGGTATGAAAGCAAAAGCTTGGAATACTGGATGAGCAAGTTATAATTCCAGTATGTACAACATGCCATCTGACCTTATTAGGATTCCAGAAGCCTTATATCACTGCTCTATAATTGTCTGAAGTGAGCATAACAACCTGTTGTAAAAACTATCAATATTGCCATTGCACAAAGATTTAAAATGTTCAAATTTCTGACTGTATCTACCACAAAAGAGAACTAATAACATGTTGAAGAAGGCTCTTGGCTAAAGAATCCATTTCACAAAATGTGAAATGTAGCATAAGTACGTGGATCCTGAGACATCTTATTTTTTAATCAGACTATTCCACTGTTTTATGATTACTTCTTCTATCCCTCTTTCATATATGCTAGGGAGGACCCTGGCCACTTATTGAGGAAGCCACAGTTAACCCAGTCATCTGATAATGGGGTAAATTAACCATCTCCAAGCAACAGTCTAGGGGCAGAGGCAGCACTGTGGGGTTGTGGGGGGCTATAGCGCTTCTGGCCAGGCCAAATAAGTATGTTTGGCCAGAAGGTGTATAGTGCAGCCCCCTCAGTTTTCTGTCTAGCCCACCTCAGCCCTCCCCACTAGAAAGAGGCTGGTGCTGCCCCTGTCTAGAGGCTTCATCATATCTTTAGTCTTCTAAATATTCAAGATGGCATAGATCCAAGGAGTCTCAGGATAAAGTGAACCATATCCTGGCTCCATAATGGAGCTTTTACAAGTATCTCACTGGTTAAGGAAAACTAAATAATGATGGTATGTCAATATGGTGCAAAGCAGTGACATGCAAAAATTCCCTGAGCTAGCTGAGCACATGCTAACACCTAAGCCAGGAGCAGTAATGCTATGTTAGTGTGACACTTTGTGCAAGCTAATAATGTCTAATGCAAATACCTTTGTATGGAGCTGCCTCATATGGTATTCCCCAATATGAAAAACACAAAGATGAGTGACAATAAGATTATCTTATTTTGATAGATGAAGGAATACAATCTGTTGAATCTTCATTATGGAATCAGTATCACCGCTTTTTAGTTTGCAGATATAGTCAATAGACACAGTGCTGTCACCTGGAAAATGTAGTACATTTATGTAACCTGTGTGTTGATACAAGCTGAAAACTACTCACTCATTTCTCATAGTAAATCACACAGAACGTAGAAAGCCATACCATTGAAAAGCAGACCTTTTAAAAATAATAATTATCCACTGAAGTTTACTAGTAACATTCAAACTCTGCAGTGGAGAAGAGCTCGATAGTGTTATGCACAAGGATCCTGCGAGACGACTTAATTTCTTTAATCAAAATATTCCAGTATTTTTATGTCTGTTTGTTGTGTCTCTTTTCCATGCATGCTACAGAAAACCCTAGCCATTCATACAGGAAACTTATTGATTACTTCATTTTCCAGAGATGTAGGATGGCATGTAGAAGCATTTTATGAGATACTACTTTCAGTGGCCTGCTAGCCTCACCACAGAAATTAGAAATGACTAAGAGAGTCATATTTCCTCATACACCACAGCAAACCGTATTCTTAATTGGTTGAATGGGTGATCCTGTTACTTACATGGTTCATCCTACATCCAGACTGTCACTTACATGCAGTGAGTGAACTCTTAGAGAATTGAGACCTTCATTTTCAATTGCAGGGCCGTCCAACTTCATTGTGGCTTGGGGATGCACACATCCACATATTGTGCAGGTCAAATGCTACAGGGGCAGCTCCCCAGAGTCTCTGGAAGTTTTTCGGGTTGTCTTGATGGCCCATGCCAAGCTTTGTACTGCTACAGCTAAGCAGCTTTGTACTGCCACAGCAAGATTTGAATCAATCTAGCAAGTACACAAGCTAGATTGATTCAGGCTATGTTGAGTATGTCAATTAAGACTATAGTCATACATTTTTTCTGAAGAACAACATATTGGAAAGGTCTATGTGGGACACTGAAGCCTAAAAATGTCAAGGAGGAGTCTGAATGCCAATGAAGAGAGTTAGTTAAGAGCAGAATCCAAAATGCAAAGCAGAGTTGTGTGAACTGTGCAAAATAATCATACAGACAAACTTAGCTTCTCACCCCCTCAGCATTACCCAGTAGATCTTGGAATATAATGTAGCATTAGGCTTTTATAACAGGAAGGGAAACAAATATCCATGAGTCATGGACTGTTTTCCAGATATTTAGGAAGTTTTGCTTCCCCATAGAACAAAAATTCAACAAGTCAAGAAAGCCAAAATGCCTTTTAGTTTATCTGGAAGAAATAGTCACTGACCATGGTGATGGTTTGACAGTGTTAAGCTCCAAAATTTTGAGCCATGATAAAATTTTGGTATCTTACTGCTTACAGAAAAGAATTTTACAGTAGTAAGAAAATTTTCAAGAGAGACCTTTTGAGCAATAGAGTAAACTTTCACATCAGTTAACGAGGTAAGCCCAGATCAATTTATAGGTTGGCGGCCCAGAACAGTGCTCCCAAATTTGAAGGTAAATGTTGATCTTAAGGTGTTCTTGCTGAAGGATATGAGGCTGAAAAATTCCAAATCTAAGAGGTCTGCATTATTCTTTAATCATTGAAATAAGGCTTTGTAACAGGGGGCCTTCTCCGGGCCGATTTTCCTGTGGCCTGCGCACCTGTTTCTGGGCTAACCGCCTGCCTTCTCACCCACCACGCCTTGTTGTTAATTAATTGATGTTAGTTAAGCGGGAGGCTGCCCATTTCTTGCCATGATGCCAGGGGGCATTATCTGCAGCTCTGCTCCTCCCCTACACCTCAGCCCAAGCCTCAAAGATGGCATCCAGATGTTATCCATATCACCAGCCCTGCACTGGGCCCCAGAATCCTACTAGTTGGACCCCACTTAGATCCCTCTGTTCAGGCAGCCTATTCTGCCTTCATTCCCAGCTGCATAGCTCCCTGAGCTGCTCTCCCCTTATGGGTGTAGTCCTCCCCAGGACCTTCGGCTCACTAGCCCTGGCCCACTTCCAGGCCAGTTGGAACCCCAGGCCCTCAGCTCTTGGACATTCCTCACAGTGGACCCCTGGCCCTTTGACCCTTGTGGTCCTGGCCCCAGCTTGGACCAGTCAGGGGATGTCAAGACAGGTTAAGAGTCTATGGCCCAACTCTCTCCCTCTCTGGGGTCCACCCTCCAGACCCTACAAAGGGGTAACCCACCCAGTTGTGGGGGGCTAGGGGTTAAGGCACCCCAACCCACCTTTCACCAGGGTGGTAACTGGCCTGGCATTTCCTGGGGGCTCCTACACCACTGAGAGCCCCACCAGGCCACCCACTCCTGGCAGGGTGCAGTTTTAGGTCATGCTCAGGACCAAGGAGCCTCCTGACAATCCCCTACAGCTCCTTCCTTACCTCCAGATGATACCAGCAGCTCTCCAGCCAGGCAGTGTTGTTGCCTACCCTGCCAACAGCAAAATGCCCTGTTTATATGGGCAGCCCTGAATCGAAAATGGCTGTCCTAATCAGACACCTGCCGGCTGCTGTCTTCTGGCCCTTAAAGTGGTAGGCACAAGCACTGCCCTGCCATGTTAAGGGCCAAATTTAACTTAGCTTAAACCAAAAGACCAAATTGTGATAATTTTTTTCTGAGGAAATGTTGAACACCAGCTGTTGTCACTAGACATAACTGCACTCCACCTTCCTACATACCTGAGGCTGATCCAGGTGTTCCATAAAGGCAAAATAGATGACAAATCAACACTTTCCATTCATCTTCACTTGAATTATCCTGTATCTCTAGTAGCAGTGGTACCCAGAGCTCTTACAGAAGGTGATCCTGTTAAAATGAAGTCCAAATTAACTGTTCTATATTCTGCATCTTTCCAAGTAAATATCTAGACAAAACTTCCCTTAATGCCAGATAATCAGATTTAGATGAGTAGTGAACCCTGTGATTCATCTGAATCTACAATGTTTTGATTTTAAAAAAAAAGGCTCAGGGGAAAATGTATTTACTATCACCTTGTATTTGCAGCTGAAACATGAATCACACACCTCTGCTTATGACATATCACCCTTCCCTCAAATCCATTCAGAAAACCCTCAAACAGTTGCAACCCATACTAGAAAGAGACCCACCCATCCTAGCCTTCAAACAAGCACCGAACCGCGCTAACCTCATTACCAGAAGCAAACTTCCTTGGGCCCAGAACACACCAAATGGACCTAGACATGCTATGGCAAGAATGCAAAATCTGCCAACACATCTCCATCACCCCCACAATTACTACTCCCCACAACAGAGCCATCAGCATTCCCGGATCTTACAGCTGCATCTCCAGAAATATAATATATCTCATCCAATGCACCAAATTCCCTGATGGGAAATACGTAGGAGACACTAAACAACAACTGTGCGCCAGAACAAGAAAGCCGATATTTTTAACAGGTTCTTTGCCTCTGTTTTCTTGAACAGGGACCGGGACATTCCTCCTGCCAGAGGTAGGGACAGTCTCAGGGATAGCTCTGTCAGGCCTTGGGTCAGCACAGATGTAGTTAGGGATCTTCTGGAAGCACTAGACATTTTTAAATCTGCAGGCCCAGATGCCCTCCACCCAAGGGTGTTGAGGGAGCTGGCAGGGGTCATCGCAGAGCCCTTGGCCTGGCTGTATGAGCATTCATGGTCATCTGGCCAGGTGCTGGGGGATTGGAAACTAACTAATGTGGTCCCCATTTTTAAGAAAGGGAGGAAGGAGGACCCACGTAACTATAGGCCTGTAAGCCTCACCTTGGTCCTTGGGAAGATCTTGGAGAAAATCATCAAGAAGCATATCTGTGGGGGGCCAGCAGGGGAGATCGTGCTCAGGAGCAACCAGCATGGGTTCATCAAAGGCAGGTCCTGCCTGACTAACCCGATTACCTTTTATGACCAGGTAACTAAATCCTTGGATGATGGTGTCACCGTGGACGTAGTCTTTCTAGACTTTAAGAAGGCCTTTAACACGGTCTCTCACCCCATTCTCATTAATAAATTAAGCAACTGTGGCATTGATGCCTACACAGTTGGATGGGTAAAAAACTGGCTGATGGGGCACACCCAGAGAGTAGTGGTGGATGGGTCATACTCAACCTGGCGAGATGTGAGCAGTGGAGTACCCCAGAGCTCAGTCCTTGGGCCTGCACTGTATAACAACTTCATCAGCAATTTGGATGAGGGGGTTGAAAGCACATTGTCCAAGTTTGCTAATGACACTAAGATATGGGATGAGGTGGGCTCACCTGAAGGGAGAGAGAGGCTGCAAATAGATTTAGACTATGAAAGTGGGCAGATGAGAATAGGATGGGGTTCAACGTAGACAAATGCAGGGTGCTGCACTTCAGGAGAAGGAATCCACAGCATACATACAGACTGGAGAGTTCCCCTCTTGAAAGCACAGAGGCAGAAAGGGAGCTTGAAGTCATTATTGACTCCAGGGTGAACATGAGCCGCCAATGCCAGACCACAGCCAGCACAGCCAGCCATACCTTGTCATGCATCCAAAGATGCATCACAAGCTGGTCCAGAGAGGTGATACTCCCTCTCTATGCGAAAATTGGTCAGGCCACAACTGGAGTACTGTGTCCAGTACTAGGCACCGCACTTCAAAAGAGATGTGGCCAGCCTGGAGAGGGTTCAGAGGAGGGCCACCCGTTTGGTGAGAGGGTAGCAGGACAGGCCCTATGAGGAGAGACTGAGGGACCTGAACCTGTTAACCCTCAGCAAGAGGAGGCTGAGGGGGAACCTGGTGGCTGCCTACAAACTCATCAGGGGAGATCATCAGCAAATAAGTAGAGCCCTTTTCTCCCCAGTACGACCTGGGGTGACGAGGAACAACAGTAATAAGCTGATGGAGAATAGGTTTAGGTTGGAGATCAGGAGGCAATATTTTACAGTTAGGGTGGCCAGAATCTGGAACCAACTTCCTAGAGAAGTGGTCCTCGCCCCTACCTTGGGTAGATTCAAAAAGAGGTTAGATGATCACCTGTCTGGAGTCTTGTGAACCCAGCATTCATTCCTGCCTGTGGCAGGGGGTCAGGCTAGATGATCTGTTCAGGTCCCTCCTGACCCTAGCTACTATGAAACTATGAAACTAAGAATGAACGCACACTGGAAATCTATCAAAGACAGGAATACCCAATTACCTGTGGGGGCACATTTTTCACAAGAAAACCACTCTGTCTCCACTGTCTCAGTTCTAATCCTAAAGGAAGCTTACAAAACACTTCTCAGAGATGAGCTTATGAACTTCACTACATAAACCTCCTGGATACTAAAAATCATGGACTAAGTATAGACATTGG